GATCACAATGGAGCCGTCGGCTGCGGCCGGTCCCATGTCGTCATCAATCTGCCATGTGACGTCACTGGGCGGCGCAAAGCTCCCGTCCGTAGTGCGCCGGCGGTCGAGACCATGCGGAAGTCTTAGATTGTGGGGCTCCACGCAGCTATTTGAAGCACGTGTCTCCCAGCCGCCCCGACCCTGGGGAGATCGGATCCATAACTGGGCTACAGTTAGTGGGATTGGACTGGAGTGTGGCATGACTGCCACAGCCACTAACCTATTTAACTTTAACCCTAACTCGTCCAGTCGGCACATCCTCTCCCATTCATCTCCCTTCCCTCTTCCTCTCTCCCTCCAGAGGAATTGTGGTGCTCCACCCGGTAGTGATGGCTGTGATCTCGGCCTGATTGTTCCTTGACACGCACGCAGAGGAGAGTTTGTGGATAGTCTACAGTGCGGTGCGCTGACTCCGGCGGTGGCTTCGCATGAAGACGACGTGAAATGTGCGTAGTGAACAGTGCGAATGTGAATGGTGTGAAAATAATGTGAAATGGCCGACTGGCAGACTGAAGGTCGTTGACTAGCGGTGACGGTCAATGTCGCAGATACAGGCGGACAGGGGCTGCAGTGGCTGACCTGCGCACGGGCCGTGGTGTCGTGTGCCCAGACCATGTCACCAAGGCCGGCGAAACGAGCCATGTTACGGGCCAGATAACGACGCTCCGACAGGCGAGACCCGTCCAAATCGATACGGTGGCCTCTTCAACTGCCAGAGCCAGGCGAATATAACTCCGAGGTCTGCCGTGGAATTGTCGTAATTGGCTGCCACAAATCATCAGGATTTGTTTGACGTCCCAAACATTTTATGAAAAAAAGTTGGCGACCAAGGCATCGCTTATGAACTATATCTGTCCATGAAGATATAAAAATGTCATAATAGTTTTGCTTGGACTTCGGCGATTCCATAATGTACACCGCAAGTGCACCTCCCAGTGCACATTCATCAAATTCAACGAGTGACTGTAAAATGAGAATAACCAAAGCTATTGTTCCAGACAGCTGTATTATCTGCAGTGCAACCGTAGCGAGCTATGAAGGACGGCTAATGTAACGGACCATGTCACTGTCCGGGAAAGTAGTCAAGGTGTGGCGGGAGGCTCCGAATATTTTTTTACTAATGCATAAAAAATATTCAACCAAGCTCTGCCCTTCCCTGTTTCCAACCGATAAGACACAGAGGATCGTCTGGATGCCGCCCGCGCCACAAATATGAATAATGCCGGTTTTCGATAAAAGACAAACAATGACTCATCTGATATAAACACCAGTAGGTATTTATGACACAGTTCGAACAACATTCGTGCTATCACGAGGAAAAGCTGGTCCGTAAATAAAGGACGGTCAGCCTAATGCTGCATACTTTTATGATAAGAAAATATTAAATGGGAAAACCCTGTCCTGCAGCTAATCATATCGTATTGTAACATACTTCCTAAATTTACTGTCTTGCCGAAGAATTTGTAGAAATTCAGTCAATTACATATAAAAACCTGTCAAACACCTTACACCACAGTAAAAAGCAGATGGACGAGCTAAGCATATTTAGCGCTAATACCTATGTCGCCAGTGCTCACGCCTATTCCAGTTTTCTAAACTCTATACCTACATAGTTGATCAAGCTCATTCGTTCGTCCCTTCCTTCCCATCAACCATCTGCCCAATCGGTCCCATCCCCAGCACACCACCAAGCAGGTCAGTTAGGGGTCACCAAGTGCTGTAAGCCGACAGGACGCGCAGCGGTCAACTAGCAGTGTCGACCACGACCGACCACACGCGGCGCCGTCCCTGATAAATGTCCCAATTCTGAGCACACCCTGCCGCTCCCACGTGTTTGTGCGTGACCAGAAACTGGCAGCTTTGGGGAAGTGCGCCATGTATTGGCCGTGATTGCTGGTAAATATTTAGGGTCTTTGGAGGCTGTCAGCTCGTCTTTATTGGTTCTCTCTAGTGAAGAAAATTGTTGTCGCATATTACTCGTCACGTTTCGCTTCTGTGTCCAGAAACTTTCGCTGCAGGAAAAGAGATTTTGATGTATTTACCCATTTCGCCTTTAGTTTTTTTTTTGCAACTGATTTATAGGCCATCAGATTTATGTCATTTTTACCTTCCTATCTAGTAATTAGCATTCCTTGGGCAGCACCTCGTCACCGTGAAACTATAGTTCCTAGTCGATGTACTCGTTCCAAAGGAAGCCATACAGAGCCCAGACGAGTCCGCGTCTTCTTTGGGACGGCAGGCATGCCATGACATCGCGTGCCTCGCAACTGATGGTGGGGTCTGGAAAACAGAGTCTGCGTCCTTCAGTCTTCTGTTACAAAACAACTCTCAGCGGCACACAGAGAGGCATTGTTGCGCTGGGAGAACCGCCAGACGCCGAGGAACAATACCGACATGCGCGGAAATGGTGGCCGCTGTAGCTGCCCGCCCCGGTCAGTTACTTGGAGCCACGTCACGTTCACAAATTGAATTATTGACAGCAGAATCGCAGCACGGTTTATTATGTGCCTGGTTTTGGCGTGACGGTGTATTGCTGCCTGTAAATCTGACGGAGCTGCTCCCTTCCGAATTAGGTGACGGATAACGGCCTTTGGGCAGCGCACAAACTGAGTCGCAGAAAAGACTATGCAGTAATTTAGGCTAATGCGTGCTGTGCGTAGAGCTCGCGGAGTTCAGCGATCCTGCGATGTCAATTAAACACTCTTATGTAATTATGAAAATGTCTGGGAATCCTGAAATATGCAAGGTTGTTTTTCTCAGAAATTGCCTGAAAGTGTGGCTGAAAGTTTCCGTTCATTTTCTGTCACATATTTTTGTTTCTACAGCAAAGTTGTTTGAAGCACTCCTTTCCCGTGTTGGCATGAAACGTGAACCACTAACCATTGACTTTTGATTTGTTCTTAGAAGGTCTATTAGGCAGGGTATATAGAACAACGGGTACACCAACGACGCGGAAAGCGCCCATTTTACCTGGACAAGTTACAGGGTAGGTGATATATTTTTTGTTTATCAAAAAAATAGAGTATTCCATTCTGAAGAGTAAAGCCAAATTCATAAAGCAGTTATTTTTAAATTATATGTACCAGAAATAACATACTAACCATAGTTTAAAACTTAGTTTAAAGTTAGTTGAAAAGCGTATAGTTGATACTAAAATGGAAGGAATCCATGGAAGGCGGAAATGGCGCAGCTGTTTCATTCTTGAAATGTGTTCGCAAGCAGGATTTACGTGATGCTAGCGACATCTATGAATGTAATCGTGGATGCTGATTGGCTGAGCGAGTCCGTGAGCAGTATCACTAATTCACGCTTGTACAGGGTTGAGGCAATGTGCGCATGCGCAGGAACTTGTGCTCTCATGGAGGGGCTTTTGGTACCTCGGGCAGCGCCCAATGCTTTTTGGACCTGTTATGCCCTCCGCATCGAAAAACGCTAGATAGAAAGGTTGTAGGGGAAGCTTGAGGCTACCTTTCCCCACAATAATATTGGCACTTTATTTATTAGCTTACGTATGGGGCTCGCTTGAAAAAGGTCGATTTAACATGGAAACCCTATGGGGTAGTAGTTTTTGAGCGCCCATTTAGCCTAATGCTACCAACTGTTACTGGCTACCCCTGCTATTAGGCCCCCGGGCTTTCCTATACACTTTTGATATGTTTTATTTACCAAACAGTGTACCGATAAGACAGATGTAGTTCACAGCGGGGTTTCCATGATACTGGCACGGCACCTATAATTGAATGGAGCCAGTTGAAGGAGGGAGGTCAAATAATCACCTTTCAATCCGCAGCCATCACAACTCCTACGCAGTAGCCTCCCGTCTCAGACACACAGGTGCGGACACCCTCCTTTCTCTGATATGCCTGCCGATGTGAGGGGCGGCAATGCCACATCTCCATGGCCGTCTACACCTCACCAGACTGCATCTTGCCGCATCTGACCGGTAGAATTGATAGGCACCGTCTCCACTGAGCACCGCGAGCAGGTCGGAGCGGCCGCGGCGCAGTAGCATCCTCTCTGAGGCGGGTCATCCAGACATCAGCGACCAGGGGCTCGCAGGAGGGAAGCGCTCGCTGGGCCGAACTTGCACCGGTGCTGGCTGGTCGGTACCGGTCTGAGATGTCCTCAAGCTGTCATGAGGTCCCAGACTGTCTGAGAGTTGATGGAAAAACACTGAACGAATCAGTGGCGCTCGCTGAGGCTCGCTCCGGGATGCCGAATGTGTGGCAAACACGGTAATTAATTAATGAGCACGGGTTCGTGTTTGCTGTTTCCTATTGCATAACATCTGAATGAATAATGAGTCATTTGGCGAGGTTAATCAGAACAAACACCTACTTCCTAATCTGTGATTCATTGCTCAACCACGCAGGACGCGCCTTTATTTTTCGACAAAGTTATAAACTACGGTATAATCGGCCGAGACTAGAAATAGTAAACAACACATACATTTGCAGATAGAAATATGCGGCATTACAGTCCTCGCCGCATACGAGAAGTGGAAAATTACTTATGAATCCTTTCATGATGCAACCAGTCGATGATTATTCTGTCATACACAAATTCCTTCGGTGACGACTATCGGCCGGGCCTCCACTGTGGTAAATAATGAAAAAGCGTCGATGTCATTCCGAGGTGCAAAGGGGTAAGGAATTCCAGGTTCATCGTGCCAGATCGTCAGTCTGGTTTTCGGCGGTTCACCTCTTGCATAAATGACGTTGCATAAGTTTGCATGTATGAGGCCCCGAAACGAAATGAAGGGTACAAAGCAGGATCTGTCCCTATAAGATTGAGATTGACTCCATGACTTGAAGCGATGTATTACATCCCACATTTGACAATTGACTTGTTTTTCGACAGAGACCGGCCTACTAGCGCCGAGCAGCGCTTTTGATGGACTGTATCTAATTATTCCTCCCTTATGTTCCACGTTTGACACCAGTCTCACCTTCCGCCGGCAGGGTACGGCCACCTGGCGCCCCAGACCGACGCCGGTCGGCTGGCCACCGTGGTGTACGCCCTCCTCGGAGTACCCCTGATGCTCTTCTGCCTGACTTTGAGCGGACACCGGATGGCGGACTCCGTGAGACGCTCCTACCAGCGCTGCGTGCCGGCGCCGCCCGCGGAGAGAGACCCGGACCAGCGGCCTGCCTGCGGGCCGTCCCAGTGCTGCCGCCGCGGAGTAGCTGCGGTGGAGGGCCGTGAGACCCAGGTGCTTGTGTGGAGGCCATCTGGGACAACTGAAGTGAGCCCTCGGGGTGCGACGGAAACGGCAGTGGGATATCGGACGACAAAGCGAAGCTCGCGGACGCCGGAGGGAGGGGCTGCTGAAGGAGTGACGTTTGCGAAACGGGCGGATGGACGGATGGTGTCGCGTGAAGGTGCGGTAACTGGTGTGGCGGTTGGTGGTGCTGAGACGATCACCAGTGGAGTTGGTGATGATAATATGGGCATGAGTCATGACCGCGATACGGTGTGGGTGGAACCAACTGATGGTTCTAGTGAGAGGACAGAAGGTGTCAGGAAATCCGGCGCTGGAGTTGTGACGAGTGCAGCGGGTGTCGGCTCTGTAGCCGCGAGCAGAGCCGCGCATCCATCCATGCAGCTCAGCGTGAGTTTCTTAGAGCGAGTGCCTTCCATTGCCGAGGAACCCCTGCCGGAGCCGTCTGAGGAGCAGACTGGCGGTGTGCCGGGCTCGGGCCCGTCGGACGCAGATAGCTCTGCCGTGAGCGAGGACAGCCAACTCACGGCCGAGCCAGTGAAGACCGACACGCTGTCACCATCTCCGAGAGAACCTCCAGAGAGCAGCGCCGTGACGACAACCACCGGAAATCACGTCACGTTCGTCACGCCCGGCTCGCGGAGACGAGCGGCGCGACCGGCGCCTCCGCTGCGCCAGAGCAGTCTGCTCAGCTGCGCAAAGACGCGCCCGCCCGCCGCGCAGTGTCCGGGGGTCAGTCACATCGACACGACCTCCTGGCCGCGACCGTGCGAGGCACCACTGCTGGCTACGGTTGGCGGCAGCTCGCTAACCCTGCCGGCAGTCCGGCAGCGGTTCGGAGAGACTGGAGACCAGGGTTTGTCTGTGATGCAGCGGCCATCGACGTCGGCTGCGATCGTGACGGTCCCGGCACCGCTCTCTGCTTCCTCCAGCGGAGACTCTGGTGTCTGTTCCGTCTCTACCCAGCGGCTGGTGCCACAGCCTCGGTCGGCGGCTCCTGCAGCTACCGGAGTCTCTGCGGGCGTCGATCAGCGCCCCGACATCGCCTGCGACTGTGATTGTGTTGACTGCAGCGGCCAGAGGACTGCACCCAGTTCCCCGCCAGCCCCGGTGTCCGTACCGGCTGTATTGGTACTAGTGTTAGCGGTGGGTTACCTCTGCCTCGGCGCAGCCGCTCTTGTCTGGTGGGAGGACTGGCGCTTCGCCGACGGAATCTTCTTCTGCTGCGTCACGCTGCTGACGATCGGGTTCGGCCGCCGGCCGCCGGGCGCGCTGTCGCCCCACCCCGAGCCGTTGCTGCTGTTCTGCTGTCTGTACCTGACGCTCGGACTGGCCGTGGTGGCCATGTGCTTCAGCCTGGTGCAGCACCAGCTGGTGGGCCGCTGTCGGAGACTGGGGGACTGCCTGAGGTTGGCAGTGCGCGGACGGCGGCAGCAGCGTGCCAGACACAGACGAGGTGTCTAGGGAAGCGCCCAGTGGCGGCTGGGGGAGGGGGGGAGAGAGTGGCATCAGCCCGGCAGTGCAGCACATGGTGAGAAAAAAAGTGAGAAAAATAATGTTACGATACGGGGAATGGTGTTAATCGTAGTCCAGATAGCGCGCGGGAGTGTTGCTCGAAAATATTTGCGTGCGGGAGTGTGGCAACTACTGGTGATTGTCTGACAATTTTGGGACGGTTTGCGCCACACAAACACTAGTCCCTATTCGCCCTTGCTCTCGGAGAGACAACTGGCGGCATCCATTGTGGAAACTGAAGGCCTCTGTAACTGCCTGACCTTGGGCCACCGGATCAGCATTGCTCACTGGAGTCTCCGTGGAACTCTGTGCAGGTAGCGGAGCTAAGAGTCGACGTGTGTTGTGTGTGCGTTTGTCCACATAAGAACATTTTTTCATCTGTGAAACCATGTGCCGACCCGACCATAAATCTTGTAATGCTAAGAATTCAATCTTCGATGAATATAGGAAGCATGATTTTGCGACATTTTTCGATATGTGCGTGAATTTAACTGTGACGTTAATCAAGTGTCAGTAGTTAGTTCAACGGAAATTTAATCAGCATGCTTCGTTCCAAACCATCTCATAATTCGTTTTGACTTGAATTACCACCGCACCCGCTTTCATTCCCATCTCGAAATTGCTCATAATGTGTCCAAATGTGTGTAAGGTCATCGACATTTGATAGCACGTCACATGGAAGACGACAGCGTCTCAATGTTATGGCCCATTCTGTAACAGCGCAGTGTTCTGTGTTATATGTATCTCGCGTCATTTATGTAAGGGCTACGCTCCTCATAGTTTGTGTCTTTATTCTAAGGCTGGAATGATTTGTCGTCAGGGAAATCACAAACTCGAATGAATACATGCTATTGTGTAATTGTGTGCCGTTGCTAAGCACCAGGAGCATGCCTGTGTTGCGTGAAGGATTGAGGTATAGAACGAAATCGCAAAAGAAAAACTATTGAACATTTAAATACCCCACCCAAAAAAAATATAGGTATATATAAAAATGAGGCTAACGAGGAATTAGGCCAATCAAAAACGAATTTGTGTTGGCTAAGACTCGAGTAACAGTTGAATCGAAAATGTGCTGGGAGTAGAGTGTACTTATTTGCTCACATGTACCCTCGGGAACAAGTAAGCAAGGCACTTATTTTGTTTTTAATGCTGCAAAACGATTTTATACTGCAGCAGTGACACGAAGGAAAGACAGATTTGCGATTGAAAATGATATGACCAGACAGCTCACTGCATAGAAACCCCGGACCTTACCGGCACCACGGGCACGGACAGATATCAAAACAAGATCTGAAGCTCTATGAATCTCAAATTATGTTTTGGCTTTACCCTTCGATGACACGGTATCAAAACGCTGCTCCACCCAAGGAGGAAGTGAATGGCGGCGGTAGCCAAATATCAGTTGGGCTCGCTTTGGCGACCGATTTATCCATGCATGCCAGCCTCCAGCCATTTCGGGAAGTGGCTCAGTCTGTTCAAGGCAGAGCAGTGGCTTTGGTAGACATTCGACGTGCGGAATGGAAATTTGATGTGAGCCAGATGGGTCTCCAACCAGCGGAAAGATTGCCACAACTCAGCCCGCGGAGGCGTTGCCACTGATCGGTAATTAATGGTCGGCCTCTCCGACATTTTACATCGGGCAGGGCCGACCGAAAGGAAAATTAAAATGAAATTGAACGTCCAGATCGACTGCGCTGGAATCAAACTGGAGCCGCAAACACTTGTGGTCGTAATCATTCGATGCATTTCGCAGCGTGATTGTCTTAGATTGTTGAATATTGTTTTGTTTTCAAATACTTTCAGCCGATAGCGGAATAAAGCAACCATCTAACCTATATGGCGATTCACATAAGTTTTGTAAAAGGAAATGGCTGTTTCACTTCAGGGAACATGCGGAAAGTCGCGCTACCGTTATTGTCAGCCTCTGTCAGGTTGTTATTTAGTTTCAGTCATAGCTTTAGCTTTTTTACTGGCTGCATTGGCATCGGACGTTCAAAGTGTTTGTTGGAAACTGGCTTGGCTCTTTTTTGTCATGAACCGTGTTCATTGCTTCTTGGCTAGCAAATAAGCATGAAGCAATGCAAAAGATGTGATAGACAAGATGCCTTAAATGTTCCTAAGTCCGGAAATGTTAGATACAAATCACAAAATATGTAGGCCGTCTTATATCTACGCCATCAGCAGCTGGCACTAGTCAATACTTTATGAGAAATCCCTTTGATGGCAATCGATATCATTCATAGTCTCATAATGACGTCAGACCGCCGAGTGTCTATTACTAGCATCAACCTAATACCACCAATTTGGTGACATTGTGACAGCACGTGACGTCAGTCCGCTGACGGTGGTGCCAAGACGGCATGCAAATGTGACCTGACTGCACCCTTTGGGTCTGGGAGCAGTTCAGTCCCCATTATCTATGGTTACAACTGCTGCGGACAGTCTGGATTGTATTCCTAGTAATCAGAGTCGATGTTGGTCCCAGGGGACGCACGAAATGCCTGTCGACGTCACAGCTTGTGACGTTAGAGGTGCCGACGACCGCCCACACTACTGGCTTCTGTGACGGCGGCGGAGGGTATAGCATAGCATGGATCTTAGATATGCGGTGACGACCTGAAAATGCGCAGTTCGGACTTCATAGTGCGCTGTACGGAATAGAGGATACATGGCTCAGACCTGAAGATGGTACTTAGACCATAATGCTAGAGTGTGTGGAACTGAACTAATACGGCGCAAGGACCAGGCAAAGATTGGATATGCTAGCGTCGCTAGGTAGCAAAAAAGGTAGTGTTGTGGCGACTGATTTTCTCCGAGGAATAGTGCACTGATTACCGCACAGCTGTGTGAGGTGGAGGTTTATATGCAGACGCGGAGGAGGGTAAAGATATGATAATTGTTGACCTTTTCAGAGTCCATGAATATGTGCTTGTTTACGGTGTACATTTGTAAATGTGCATGAAGCATGAATAATGAACGCCAATGCATATCAGCATTTTTATGATAAATTCCTCATAATGTTCCACTCCGAGGTCGTTACCTACCACTGGGTCTCCTACACTACTTTTCAGATCCTAACAAGGAGACTCCTCATACCAGATGGTACGCTTCATTCTTTTTGCGATATCTCTGACCTTTTGCCAGCAAACTTCTGAGGGAACAGGAACCGGAGCAGATTAAAACTATGGCAGTTTCTGGCAGAAACATTCTCTGAGCTGGAGCATCGGTGCACTAAAATAGCTCGCCTGATACACGACCATTTCAGAGTCCATTAGAGTAACCCGGCCTGAGATATTGGCAGAATGACACTTAGAAAATTACTGTTGTTTTGTTTGTATATGTAGCTCGAGTGTTGTGTCCGTTGGATGATGCTTCGAAGAGCAGGAAGCGCCGCGCTCAGCCCACGGCTCAGTGGCTGACTGCTCTCGGCGGCGCTGCGAGCGCGAATGACCCGGGCTCGGGTCATGCGGACCTGGCGAGCGGGCGGTATGACGCAATCACATGGGCGGCGCTCTCCCTCACCGCGGAGAAAAAAACATTATCAGTTGACTTATAATGTTACATTTATGTATGGTACTTGCGACATGTTTTACAATAAACGTTGCCATTGGTGACAACTGACACCATACCCACGAATCAAGAGTGTAGGCTAAGAATTTAGTGTAGACTGTAGAGCATAAATGATCAAAAAGGTTACCTGCCGACTCCTGTGAAACGAGCCGGATGGTGTCGAGACAGCATTTGCAGATGTTATACGGAGTAAACCCCAAGGGTCTTCTGAGCATACCAAGTGTCATTCCGCATCGGCGCTTTATCTCTGATACATTCCCGGGTTTGCACTTGCAGAATCGGGCAAAATCTCAGAAAGGAGATTCGTAGCATGTTCAGCGAACTCCATTTATTTATGCACTTACATTATTTTCAGGCTACGTAAGCAGGATAATACGTGCGTCTTCCAGCGATCGTATACGACCTAAACAGACTCACGTGAATGATTTCACCCAATCAAAACACTGCACATCGCATTACCATGAAGCAGCAGCATACCTTCGACAAGTTGTGGCAGCTATTAGCATATCGTTTGTCGTTTGCAAGTCGAGCGAACCGCTTACGCAGATGATATCAAGTCATGCCTCCACTCGAAGGAGTGTTCAGGAGCCTGAATCGTGACCAGCGCAGGTCACGTGACAAGAACAGGTCACGTGACTATATAATGGGCGCCATAAGACCATGGGCTGGACATTCGCGATTTCCCGATGACGTCAACACATCATCATCATATTAGGTCAGATTTGCCTTGGAGGCGTAAACACTAAACAGTTGTGTACCATCGTCCATCCATCCAACTGTTTATTGGTAATACAAATTAAACGCATAATATATAGTAAAATAAGAGGAGGCACAAAAGCCAAAGGGCTTAAGTCTCGGTGCCAACTCTCGTAATGCAGTGCACCGGAAATATGTAGGTATAATACTAGCGCAGACACACATACATGCATACTTACATACATACACATACGTACATACACATACACATACATACATATATACGTACACGCATGAACACATTCATCATCTCTCATACTTCGAACATACGCTCAGTCAGAAGTTCGCCCGACCGCCGCCCCGTCGCCGGCCACCGCCCGCAGCCACCGCCCCCTCACGCCCCGCCAGGAGGCCGCGCCCGGCCAGGTCCCTGGATGAAGTTAGAAAGCGCATGAGAATCGTATTTACCATTCGCATGCAGTAGTCTTTAAGCGGTATCTTTCCGTCTGTTCCGATCAACAGACTGATTGTCAGCTTCATATGATGTGATGTGAACGGTGTCTCCATTCTATGACTCACCTCCCTCACTCTGTCCTTCCGCTTCTATCTTGATACTCCATCGACGGCTTATAACCGTTATCCGTTATATCATCACATCTGCCCGTCAACTGTTTTTATCAACGATGGTCTGCCAAGACTGACCCAATTCTCTCTCATGATCGCGACGACTTGTCATTTTTTAGTTGAGTCGTCCCCTTCTTTTTTCAGCTTAGCCTTTCGATCAGCCACAAACCGTACAACTCCTGCCTTTCCCCTCCCCACCGCTCATGGGTCGATTTTCCCACGCTATTACCTGACGCATTTCCGCTGTGGGTCCAGTGCTGACCCACGGGTCACAAACGGTTCAGCGACGCGCGCACCCGTGGGAGTTTTATGGAAAGCACTGGTGTGGAGCATATAAGCGGAAATGACTGTAAAACGCTTGTGATAAGAACAATTTAATGAGCAATGGATAATTACCAGCTTCAATGAGGTTTTAGAGGTACCTATCAGATTATTGTTATGCATAAGGGATTATTGAAATTTGTGACGATTTCGTCATTTTTTCTTCTGCTTCACACTGTAACAAAGTTTTGTGCATGTTTGTCGATATGAGAGACAGATGTGCTTGGAAACCACACTCTCACGGGTGTGTGCAAAAAGGATCGATATACATCACCGAATTCACTAAAGCTAAGGTTTTTGCAACAAATCCAGCCTGACACGGTTGGGCTTTAACAATCGACGATCATTGATCATGCACTTCCTATGTATGTATGTGCCCTACTTCTAAGGATACCGGAATGCGCAATACACACTACACAGAGATATAGTCAAGCTGTGCGGTGCAGCATATCTTCAGGCGCTATCAGTAGCGACATCTAGCGTCAAGAAAAGACAACAACACATTAATTATTGATATGAGGGATGAAAGGACTGGAAAAATCTTATGTTGTGAAGATTTTCCACTACATCCGCCGGAGCCATTGAACTACCGAATCACATAAAAATCAACGCGGAAGGAGCAGAGAATGCACTACCGTAAAACAAGGAATTA